TATCTTTTTTGAGATGAGGCGACCACATCTGTTTCTCCAGCCCCAGAATGTTAAATGTAATTATATTATGGTCACTATTTCCAAGAGGTCCAATTATATTCACCTCTGGGACCAGACCCTGTGCTCCATTTAGGACTAAGTCAAGAATTGCCTCTCCCCTTGTGGGTTCCAAAACCAGCTGCTCTAAGAAATGGTTATTTAAAGTGTCAAGAAATTTTATCCCTGCATCCTGTCCTGAGGTTATGTGTAACCAGTCAACATGAACATGAACAGCTAAACTAAATGTTATATTTAGATATATTTATAATTATAAATTGCTGTCTATAGAACCCACATATTTAGGGTTTAAGCTTTCTGCATGCTAGGAAACACAACACAAGTAAAAACCATGACCTAATTAGGAGAAAGGGATGCTTTCCTGAGTAGGGACCTATAATATGAAATACTCAAATGACTGTCAAAATTAATCTCCACGCTTAGATTAAGTTTGCAGGCTTGGAATTTAGAAAAAATAATTTGTTCATATTTGGCATTTAAATCAGTTGACCACAATCAGCATGGATCTCCAGAAGATCACTTTTTTAAATAAGTGTCTTTTCAGAAGAGAACTGCACTTCAGGCAATTTTGAAACATTTTCTTACTTAAAATGCCAGGTACTTGTGACCACCTGAGTTCTGAGTCCCCTTTCCCCCCCCCCCCCCCCCCCCCCGCTGCCTCTCTGATAGATCCTGTAGTCTTATTCTTCAAAATATTGTTTGGACAGCACTTGTCTTCTAAATTCTGGATGACAGGCCACCCGAGATTCAGTTCTTCCCTCTTTAGAATTAAAGGAAAATTAGCTCATCTTTATCTCACATTTTGTACTACAGGCTCTTTCAGACCTAAGGATCAGTCTGAAGTGATCAAGATATTAAGTACTCTGCAGTACAGCCATACATGAATTGAAGGAAGAGGTGGCTATTCTGAATTAAAATCTGTGACCATTCTGAATTAAAATCTTTTGACTTTCTTGTATATGTGAAATAGTAAGAGAGATGTAGCCGTGTTAGTCTTGTTATAAACCATCTTGTTAGTCTTTAAAGTGCTACATAGTCCTGTTTTTTGTATATGCGAAGTATTCCAACTAGCACTTTTTAACAACATTATGATTGGCATCTTTAAACCGGAAAAGAAAAGCAGTTTCTTGCAAAATCTTTGTAATTGCCCTGAAATAGAAGGTATAATCAAAGCTCCTGGACAAGAATTCTCTCTTTATTATTTCATATGGATATGGTTTATGAAATGAAAACAAATTTTAAAAACATATATGGAAGTCAAATTATATTTGAAAGGCAATGCTGTACCATTCATATAATAGGATTAATTTGTCTCTGAATGCTGAAATTCAAACAATGCATATATTATGTGTGCCTTTCCAGAGAACTTTGTATAAATGAATTTAAAGTACCTTTGCACTGTAAATGATTACACCCATGACACTGGCATGAAAAATGATGGTAATTGATAGTTGGGGGCAAGGAATTTTATTGTTGTTTAAAAGACTGGACTACTTATATCCCTGCAGCAGCTCAACACAGCTGCAAATGTCCTCAGTTAAACCTTCACTATGTTATCAGTTTCTCATGAAAGCACTGAAAATGTCCTTCAGAGGAAATGCTACACTCTCAACAAAAGAAGCACATATTTAAAAAGACACCAAAAACTCTGAAAAAAATTGTTTAGCTAGGTTTTGTTATATAAATGCAACACTCAAAATGTTGGCAGATATATTTCCCTCTGCCTTTTAGCATAGGTAATTTTGCAGTTCTTCGTAATAATGAAGCATTTTGCATTTGTACTAGTGGCAACAAAATAAATTCACATTTCAATTAGTATAAAAGTTATGTATTCTCAGAAAAACAACCAATGGAAATGTGTTGGCA